GGCCGTTGTGGGCGGAGAGGCCAGGCTACTGCAAGCACCGAGCACCGCCAGCAAAAGTTTGGAAGAATCAAGCACAAACGTCCAGTTACAACGTGAAAAGATCATAAGGAGGTAGTGTGCAGCACAGTAATTGTTGTTAATAATACTGTTTTGCACATTGGAAAGTTGTTAAGAGAGTGGATCTGAAAAGTTCCATTAATTACCCCCACAATAACATACTCAGGCATAAATCTAACAAAACATGTGCCATGCCTATATGAGGAAAACGACCAAACTCCAGCCAAAGAAATCAAAGAAAATCTAAACCAGCTGAGAGACATCCCATGTGCGTGGGTAAGCAGATTCAATAGTATTAAGATGTCAGCTCTTTTCGACTTGATTTATAGATGCGGTGCAATCTCAGCGAGTGACATGTTTTAGACATGGACAGACTAATTCTAAAGTTTATATGGAGGGGCCAAGGGCCCAGAACAGTCAGCACAACATTGAAGGAGAAGAACCAAGTCAAAGGACCAGCACTGTCTGACTCGAAGACTCACTGGAAACTGTAGAAGTCAAGACAGCGTGGTATTGGCAAAAGAACAGACAAACAGATCAATTACTGACCATTGCCAAGACTTGGGAGCAACAAAGAAGCCCTCGAAGAGGTGAACGGGTGACACACTGTGGCACACCCAGATAACAGAACAGTATTTGGTGCTTTAAACAAAGGGAGCTAGCAAACCACGAAGAGACACGGAGGAGCCTGGAGTGTACATTCCTCAGCAGAAGAAGCCGACCTGCTGAGGCTGCACAGTGTCCCACTCCAACTATCTGGCACGCCAGGAAGAGCAAAACTGTGGGGACAGAGAAGTCTGCCAGGGTTAGAGGAGGAGGAGGGAGGGGTACACGGGGGAGCCTCGGGGGGGCTTTCAGAGCCGCAAAACCGTAATGGCGGGTACCTGCCATTACACACTCGTCAAAACCCACGGAATGTGCCCCACGGTAGGAGACCGCTCTGCGTGGCCTGGGCCCAGCTCCCACTCGGAGATGCACAGGACCCACGCCCACAGGTAGGTTCTCCTGTGGGGAATCAGGCCTGCAATGTGCCCAGGCCGCTTTGAGTCCTGCTCTTGCTGAAGAACTCCCTCACCCTGAATTGAGGACATTTACTGCAAAGCAACTTCCTAAAATCCATGCTAAACCTTCCCAGGAGGAGTGTAACCGGTCCAACCACTTTTGCCTTTTCATTTGCAAATCTCCCTCTTCTGTGATGTGATTAGCAGCATCCTCTCCTTTGTTTTCTGTAAAAGGTGACCACCTACAGCGAACCTGTGCACAGTAAATGAGGACCATCAGATAATGGGCGGGGGAAACCCAATAAAGGCTGGTCTCAGCAAGGGCCAAGAGAGAAAAGCCACGCTGTCCCTTTTCCTCCACCGGACTCAGTAGTCCCTGTGAATGTCTCACTTCATCCATAATGACTCGGACACTGCGGACCGGTGTCTGCATCACCACACCAAGACCGCAGCCCAGTGTGAACTACAGGCTTCAGGGGACGGCGTCGTGTCAGCACGGGCGCATCAGCTGTGGCAAACACGCCAGTCTCTCGCGCAGGACACTGACAGTGGGGCAGGGGATGTAGGAGAACCCCCCCATACACTCCCCTCAGTTCTGCTGTGAACCCAGACTCCTCTGGGAACTGGGACAAACAGCCCCGGCCGGTGTGGCCCAGTGTGTGGGAGCCTTGTCCCCTAAATGAAAGGTGTCGTGGGTTTGATTCCCGGTCAGGCCACAGCCCCTGGCGGGTCCGATCCCTGGCCGGGGTGCAGGTGAGAAGGCAACCGACCCATGTTCCTCTCTCCCCCCCACTCCCCTTCTCTGTAAAGCAATGAAAACACGTCCTGGGGGAGGATAAGAAAAGGGAAAGAACTAGGGCAGGCAGGTAAACAGACAGGCCTTCCAGGGTGTCAGAACCAGACGGGGCGCACCATTCCCTCTGCCTTTATAAGACACTCAGTTTTCATCCCGTGTCAAATATCCAGCAACTCGCAGGAATTCGTAGCTGACCAGACCCCGAGAAGATGAGCGAAAACATGTCTCCAAATATTTTATTTTGCTTTTAAGGAAGTAAAATGCTAAAAACAAGGTGAAGGAAAGAAGGACGAGTTTCGCTCAGGTGGGCATCCCCAAACCCCAAGAGAGCACTGGGGGGCCTGGCACCTGCCCTGCGGGTCTTCACGTAACGCTGCCCCACCCCCGCACACGGCAGGGGACCGCGGGCAGAAAATCCCGTCCGCACACGGTCTGCCCGGCAAAGCCCGTATCTGTGAATCGTCCGTGCAATTTATTTTAATTCCCAACAACATTTTTAAATGAAAAGTTGGGATAACGCATAAAAACAGCAATGTCCTCTAGCACGCACTGGGACCCGGAGCCCCCCCACAAAGCACCCCCGCTGGGCCCCCCGAGGGAGGCGCACGGGTGGAGTTTCTGGACGAAACACACCTTGGGTCCTGTTCGCAGGGTCCCCGCAGAACTCGGGCTCGGGACCAGTCATTTTCCAACCACAACCACAGCCTCGCCAGTGACACAGAGGCTTCCACGAGGGAAAGACACGGCACGACGAAGAAGGCGGGGCTCAGGGCGGACGTGGCCCCCAGGGTGTGAACCGCCCGCCCCCGAAGGAAAACCGAAGGAAAACCCCAGCTTGGGCCGGGGACCCTCTGCCCACACGTGGCCCCCGGCTGCCGTCCGCGCGCGGGGCGCCCCCACCCCACCGCTCCGCGGGCTCGGGCCAGCAGGCGCCGCACGGGCCGAGGAGGGCCCACGGGGGGAGGCAGGCAGACATTGTCCCTACGCGAGGTCCCAGGGCGGGGGGGCCTCTGTCCCGCTGCCTCCAATCAGACACGCGGGGCGCACGCCCCGCCCGTCTCTCAGTCCCCTCGGGGCCACTGAGAGCAGAGTCCTGGGAGGGTTCGCTCAGCCTCTGCCCCCAGCACGCGCCCCACGGGCTCCTTGGTTTCTGTCCATGGAACTCGCGTCAGAGCTCCGGCCTCCACGACCCAGAGAGTGAGTGTGCTCATTCGTCAGGTCAGCCTCTGGGAACTCATGCGCAGCCCTTCTCTGGGGCGGGGGTGCCAGGGAACTCCACCGCATCTCCTCGGTGACGGCGTCTGTCCGGTGCTGGAAGACGCGGGGGAGGGCGATTTACTCAAACTGCTCGCAGCCTGAGGAAGCGAGTACTTGTCTTCTTCCTCACACGGAGTTGGAGAAGGAAGGTTCCGGCTTCAGCAAGGACGAGCTGGGCAAGGACACAGAGCTCATCAGCAGCAGGCCCGGGTGCAGGCCGTGTGCACCCCCGCCCCCCCCCCACACACAGCCTGCAGTGCACAGACAGGGCCACCCAGAGCCAACCGCGGAGGCTGAACCCACGGGTCCACCCAGCCTGCGCTTACAGGACTGCTGCCCGTGCTGGGCCTGAAGGTCTGTGCACGCCCCACAAGACCTCACACTGAAGACCTAGGCCCACCCCCAACAGTGTTAGGAGGTGGGGCTTCTGGGGGGGTCAGGCCCTGAAGGTGGAGCCCTCATTCATGGGAGTAGGGCCCCCATGCAAGAGACCCCCAGAGCTCCCTGGCTCCTTCCAGCTCGTGAGGACACACGGGGAGTCTGCACTTGGGAACACAGCCCTCGCCTGACCCCGCCGAGACCCCACTCTCAGCCCGCCTGCCAGCCTGCAGACCGTGAGAGATGCACTCCTGCTCCTTGGCCCCCCGGGCTGCAGAGTTTTGTGACAGCAGCCCACGCGGCTAGGACAGCGCCTGTTCTGCCCCTCCGATCACCTTTCTCTCCTCCACTGCGAGACAGACGCCCGCAGACCAGGCGCTTTGTCTTTCCTCTCACTGTCCTCCGGGTACAGGACATCTGTAGGTGCCCAAAGGTTCCCTAACAAATAAACGGGGGGATCGCTTCCCCCGGGGCCTCGCACTGGAAAGTCTCGGGGGATTTAGGAAGGAACCCGGGGCCGGGAGATAAACGACCTCCTTCCCTTCTCCTCCTTCTTCATTGGAAAGAATGGCCGTCGGACTGGATGGGCGTAACGACGCGTGTCTGCAGGACCCGGAGAGGGCGGTGAGCAGGGCAACACGTGTCCCCGCAGCATTTCAAGCGCCCGAGTCTGGGACAGATCGAGGACACCCGAGAAGGGTGACCACAGGCCCCCCACCGAACCGACACCGCTCCGCTACCTAGGAAAGGCATGATGAAAGGGAAAAGTGCTCCCAGAGTGGATGGGCAAGCATTCTCAGCGTGTTCGGGGCTTCCCGGCAGGGAGAACAGCAGGCGGACCGCCCGGTCTCCCCGGCCCCGGCCCCCAAGCCACGGGCTCCGGTTCCTGGCCTCATGCCGTTCAACGTGTTATCAGTGCCTTGGACGGAGGTTTCTGTATTGTTTCATTTAGTGTTTCTTTTTTTTAACTCATTCTGGAGAGAGAGGAAAGAGAAGGGAAAAGAGAGAAACTCTTTAAAAGTGCCCTTGCTCACTATTTGTGCTGGGTCCGCCTGGCACTGCCACAGCGAGGGGAGGCCAGGGTAGGCAGCCCTTCGGCTGTCTTCCTGCCCTTCCCTCTATACGGGTCCCTTGAACTCATGGAGCTTGTTGAACGTCCACACACATAAAATCCGCGCCCTGCGGGTCCCACGTCCTGCTTGCAGCTCTGCCCTCTGAGCTGCTGCTCTGGGTGCAGGGGCCTGCGGGGCCCTCGGCAGCGAGGCCCCGGCGGCCGCACGGTGCACGGGCGCCCCCTGCCGGTGAGAGGGCGTCTGCGGGGGAGGGTGGTGGAGAGCGACCCGACACGTCCGCATTTTTCCTGCAGAAACTGCGGCTGCCATCAGAAATACGTGGCATTCTTTCGCGCTCTCTGCCTCCTTGGAACCCCCTTCCCCCTCTGCGGAGGGTCTTTCTGCCCCCCCCCCTCCCACACACACACACACACACACCCCGCCCCCACAGGGAAATGAGCTAGTCGGTCCTTCCTGGGTTTCCGCCGCACGCGGGGTTTCGAGTTTCAGCTCCTCCTCGAATTCCAGCGCGCGGAGGAGCCTTCGCCGGGAGCCCTGCAAGATGGAGCCTCTGGCCGTGCACCCCGGGCGGTGCTCGGGGCCCAGGGCGCGGGTGTTCGCCGTGCTGCTGTCCATGGCGCTGTGCACCACGACGCTCTTTCTCCTGCAGCTGAAGTTCCTGAAGCCGCGGGCCAACAGCTTCTACGCCTTTGAAGTGAAAGACGCGAAGGGAAGACCCGTGTCTCTGGAAAAGTTTAAAGGCAAAGTAAGTCGCCTCCTCCGACTTTTATTGCTTTTTTTTTGTTGTTGTTGTTCGGCCACGTTCTCCGTGCGCTCTCTTCCTGGGACCGATTTTCTCCGTTAGACGCTCGTGTTATCGTTTATAATACAGGAATGGGATTGGTACATCACTTTAGCCATCATTGTCCTCATAGTTTTTGTGCTTCTAATTGGTAAACTCTGATTATCTCAACTGCTTTCTTGAGAGTGTTTTCACTGATGTGCTGAACTAACACTTGAAGTGGTTTGGGGAATTCTCTGCAGTTTGTAATGTGAACATGGAGACATTAACCAAACAACAGGAACTTATTATGGTTTTTTTTTTTAATAAACCATCACGAGTCCCTGGTGCTTTTTGAAAGGCGTCTCAGCCAGGCACCCCGGTCACCATGTTCAGTACAGCCGGGTATGCCTAGAAGTCCGAAATAACCATCTCTCCTAGGTTGTAGTTCTTTCTGCCCAGACAGTGTAGGGTTTTTAACCACCGGCAGGATTCTTGGGTCGTTTCTTCGCCTCACTTTCCGGCCGGGTTTGCTCTTTTTCCGGGAGGTCACACTGGTGGCCAACGTGGCCAGCGAGTGCCAGCTCACAGACCGAAACTACGGGGCGCTGCAGGAGCTGCACCGCGAGTTCGGGCCCTTCCACTTCAGCGTGCTGGCCTTCCCCTGCAACCAGTTCGGGGAGGCGGAGCCCCGGCCCAGCCAGGACGTGGCGGCCTTCGTGAGGAGTAACTACGGGGTCACCTTCCCCATCTTCCACAAGATTAAGATTCTGGGACCCGAGGCAGAGCCTGCCTTCAGGTTCCTCGTTGGTGAGTACCGGTCTGGCCTTCCCAGTGTAACGTTGAGTGTTGCTTTTCCGTTTTATTGTTTTAAATATATTTTATTGATTATGCTATTACAGTTGTCCCCTTTCCCCCCTTCACTCCCCTCCACCCTGCACACCCCCTCTCCACCCACATTCCCCCCCTTTAGTTCATGTCCCTGGGTCACACATATAAGTTCCTCGGTTTCCCCATTTTCTATTCTATTCTTACCCTCCCCCTGTCTATCTTCTACCTACCATCGATGCTACTTATTTTCTGTACCTTCCCCCTCTCTCCCCACCCACTCCCCTGTTGCTAACCCTCCATATGATCTCCATTTCTGTGATTCTGTTCCTGTTCTAGTTGTTTGCTTAGTTTGCTTTTGCTTTTGTGTGGTTGTTGCTTTTCCTTTTTAAACAAGTGTATCAGAAGCAGGCTTTCCAGTTTCATTTGAAATGTTTTAGTGGGAAAGTTTTATAAGACGACCAACGAGCCGGAATTTCATCCTGTTGGACTTTCTAGAAGTTTTGCTTTCCTGAAATCTATGTTTGAACGCCGGGAATGGCAAAATAAATCTGGCCCACCGAGTTTTATTCCTGATGATCATTTTACTGAAAAACGCAGTGGAAGTGTGGGCATAGCTATTGTCACGGGGCGTCTTCTCCTCTCACCTCAGTAGCCTCTGGGGAGGCGCCCCCGCCCCCACTGGTAACGGCCCCCCCCCCCGTCTGGAACAGGCGGGGCGCCGTGGCTCCGTCCTCTCTGCGGTGGCTGTGTGGTGCCTCACCTCTGAGCTGGCCTCAGGGATGAGCAATACTCAGTTTGCCGCGGTTTTGCTAAAACTCAAAACAAAACAAAAGGATTCTTTTAGGAAGCAGTGTTGGGCCACTGCTTCCTAAAAGTTTTACCATCAGGCCACTGGCTGCAGAAATCCTAGGTTTTTCCAGGGTCAGTCAGCCTGAAGGGAGTGAGGGTCAGAGGCTGGGCATGCTCCTGGGCCCCGGTCCGCTCTGCTGCTTTGCTGTGTGTCTTCAGGCACACGACCGAACTCCTCTGTGCCTGGTGCCTCGTGTGTGAAACGAGAGCGTCAGTATTGTCCGCCTCCTAAGACTGTGTGGAGGAGCGTGTTAATAGTGAGAGTAAGGCCGCACACACCGCTGACCCTGGGCCGGACACCGTCCTAAAGGACGCTCAGGCCGTCAGCGACAGATCTCCCCTGCCCCGTTGTCACTGTGGGTCCCCTGATTGAAACCGGGACTTCATCCTGCCAGGACACTTCCGTCCCACAGACCAGCAGAGGGCGCTCTAGGTGCGCCGCGGGAGAGAGCAGCCAGCGCAGGCGCGGGCCAGGGAGTCTCGCAGTCACCGCCGCGGGGTGCTGGGGCACCGTCGCTCCTGGGGGAGGGTCCTGGGACCCTCCATCCCTACAAAGGTTCTCAAACCCCACTGTCCCCGTGGGGGGGGGGGCGGGCACAAGGGTCACGTAATGTAAGCGAGTCCCAGAGCCAAGTGATGATGGCCCAATTACAATCAGGCCTTTTCAGTGGGCCCACCTGGACAGGACCGAGCCTGGTGCAGGTGTGCCGGCTGCCCAGGGGCCTGGGTGAGGAGGCAGGTGGGGGCAGCATCCCAGCCCAGTGGCCAGACCGGTGGGGAGGGGCTGCAGCCACGGTCGGGGGCCCAGGGCCGGGGGGCAGCGGCAGCTCACTGGCTCACAGGTGGCGCCCCAGCTGGAGAGAGCTGTGCCCTGGACACGTTTTCCGCTGTGGAAAGGGGCTGTTCCGGGACGACCCGAGGAAGGCTTCGAGGCAGTGCTCTGCTCCTGCTGAGTCCCCGATGCTTGCTCCAACAGGCGCTACTTCCAACAGTGAAGGAACCGATGTAAACACTCGGCACCGGTGCAAAGTAAAGCGCATAGAAGTGGGCGTTGGGCCACATCTTACTGGTTCCAGCCTACGCTCCCTCGTGGGCTCTCGCCCACCTTTAACGCCTCCCGGCGGGGTGTCCTCACAGCCACTCGCTCCCTGTTTCCAGAGGAGGCAACACGGCTCCTCCCCTCCCCCCCACCTCCTCCCTGCATCGCTGCCCCGGCTTCTGAGCCCACTGGGTCTTGGCACCTGACTCCCCATGGGTCCCTTCTCCTTCTCCTTGGCAGGTGGCCCTTGTCCATCCACCCTTAACCCTATGGGTGCTCAGGGTCCTCCCTAAAACCCACTTGGGCCCTTCTCGCTCCATCTCCGGTCCCTGAGTGAGCTCTGTCTCCTAAGCTCCCAAGCCACAGACCCAGAGGCCCCCTCCGATCGGGCGTCCCACAGACACCGAGTCCCGCACGGACAGGGAAGAGCTGGCCCTCCTCCTCCCCATGTCAGCTGGCTCCGCCCTGTGCCCTGTGGCTCCGCCCTGTGCCCTGTGGCTCCGCCCTGTGCCCTGTGGAGGCGGCAGAGCCTGAGCTGGGGACAAGGTCCCGAGGTGGCTCCGGGCTCTGCCCCCCGCCAGCCCTGGGGTCTGGAGTCCAGGCCCCCGCTTTTCTCATCTGCAAAATGGGGGTGATGGTAGTGACACCCCGCCGGCAGGGGTGCTGCAGAGAGTACACAAGGGACCCACTCGGAGCACTGAGCCCCCGTCACTGGGCGCAGGGTGGGCACTTGGTCGATCTTAGCTGTGACTGTGGTTTTCCTCGTGTCAGTCCGTAGTAATGCCCATAGCCCCCTGGATAGAAACGGGAAACCCTACCTCTTACATGTCAATTCAGATGCATCCAAAGGATGTCACAGTTTCTCAAAATAACATGATTTAGAATTTACCATTTTCAGCTACGGAATATGTCACTATGTTAAAAACGTAGGTATGTTTCATATGAAAAGCGATCCCCCCCATTCCCTTTACAAAGGACTTCTAGAATATCATTTTATCTTTAAACGTGCCAGGAAACTGGAAGTTTTCAGCGAGTGGCAAGACAAACTTTGTGTTGTTTAGAGCAACAGATCTGAGTAAGCCGCTTCGTGACAGCTCTGGGTGGCAGAATCGTGCGTTAGTGGAGTCTCCGCGTGTGTGTACGGGACCCGGCCGCTCAGACCTTGAGTTCTGCCCCGTTCGGGGTTTTGCTCTCTGTCCTGTTTCGCTGTGGTGGCACCTCCCCCCACCCCCCACCAGGACTTGTTTCTGAAGTTGTCACCCGTGCAGACCCTGGCAGAAGTGGAAATCTCGGCAAAGAATAGAATCACACTCGTGAAAATGTGTTCTGACTTTGCAGATTCCTCCAAGAAGGAGCCGAGGTGGAACTTCTGGAAATACCTGGTCAACCCCGAGGGCCAAGTCGTGAGGTCCTGGAGGCCCGAGGAGCCCGTCGAGGCCATCAGGCCTGAGATAGCAGATCTGATTCGACAGATGATCATTAAGAAAAGGGAGGATCTCTGAAGACGCCGGGGCCTCGCTCCAGTGTGGCGGCCAGCACACGGGGCCGTCTCCCCGAGGGTCCGCTCTCATTCTAGGTGCTCCGACGACCACGCATGGCACTGACAGATGGTTTTCTGTCACCCTGCCAGTGAGTGGCAATGAACGTCTCCACCACAGGGACGCTGCCCAAAGCCCAAGGAATCAAAACAAAACGCACTCCAGACTCCATTTGACCACACCAAACAATTCAGAATACACAGTCGCCACTCAGCTCCAAGCGCCGGTTGTTCAACTTGACCTTTCCTAGGAGCGTCCTGGACGGACACGCCAGCACGCTAGACCACTGAGGCCACGACCCTGGGTGCGGCTGACGCGTCTGCAGCAGCCGACTGTAAAGGACTATTTTTATGTAATAAAACACAAAATAAACATTGTGAAATGTATATATGCATAGATCCGTATCCTTACATATTTTTGTCTTTTTCATATACAGGATTTTGTTTGTTCATCTTTTGGGGACAAGTTCATAGTAGGTTTTACTACATCCGGCCAAAGAGTCATTTATAAATGACATTATCATAACATTTGAAAAAGCCTTCATTATTTTTTTAAGATCTTGTTTATTTATTTTTAGAGAGGGGAAAGGGAGGGAGAAAGAGAGGGAGAGAAACATCAATGTGTGGTTGCCTCTCGCACGCCCCCAACTGGGGACCTGGCCCACAACCCAGGCATGTGCCCTGACTGGGAATCGAACTGGCGACCTTTTGGTCTTCAGGCCAGCACTCAATCCACAGAGCCACAGCAGCCAGAGCCATTATTTTCAATATTTATTAGTTCCCGGGAGAAACTCAAATTCCGTAAGTACAGCATTAACAGTTGAGTCGGTATCTCTGCGTGGAAATCCCAAGTGTAAGAAAAGGGCCATCAGTCTACCATCACTGAACTTGGATCCTTAGCGGTATCTTTGGCTGATGATCTATTCAGACTAGACTCGCCATTTGGAGGAAGAATTCAATGCTACGTCATCCCGGTGGCTGAAGTCCTAAGGGTCACCCCCAAAGCGCCAACGCCCTTCCTGGAAAGAGGGGAGCAACTGCGGACGTCCTGGACTGAGCCACTCGGGGGCACAGCCAACTGTCTACTCCCCCGAGTCCCCACCTTTCTGTTCCGTCCGCCGCATCATCACCATCGGCCAGCAAAGCAGCAGGCCGAGTTGGTGGAGGCGAGCCGTGGCCCCGTGGAACAGGCATCTCACGGGACAGCTGGACGGGAAGGCGGGAGAGGAAGTGCGGAAGGGGACGCACAGGCCTGCGGACCTTGGCGAGGGAGGAGGACGGTCCATATGGCTGCGGGCCGGCTCCCAGCCCCCGGCCGACTCACCAAGGGGCAGACGCCCCCTTGCGGCGGCGAGAGTGCGCGCAGGTGCCCTGAGTCGGCGGGCCCGGCGGTGCAAGAGACGAAGACGGAGGGTCTTCTAAGAGGGCCCGCAGCTGCGTGTGCCCGCGCCTTCTCCAGGCTCTCGCAGCGCACGGGCTGTGTTTGGAAAGCCGGCCCCTCACACGCGGGACAGGGCCGGGTTGTCCGGCCCCGTGCATCCCGCTCACTGGTGGCGAGTCTCCAGTGGGTGGAGCAGCGAGGGGTCGCTCTGCCCGCGTTCGCCCTCAGCTTGGCTCCCTCTCTGCCCTGGAGGAATCGGGTTCTAACGCCTGCCCCGCCTGGAGACCGCCCGCCACCCTCCTCCCCGCTCTCCTCTTCCCTGCGTTCGGGGGCTGCGCTGCTGGGGCCCTCCCGGCCGAGGAGGCGTTGCCGCTGCCGTTGCCACGGCTGCTGCCACCGCCAAACCCCCACCCACCCCTCCACGGAGCGGAAGAGCACCTGGGACACCACCTCCAACCAGCGGCAGGGCCGCCCACTCCTTTCCCCCCAGCTGCCCAGGGCCCTCCCTGTCTCCCCCCACCCCACCTCCCGTGGAAACACTTTCCGGATGCGTGTCCTCCTCACCCACGACCCCTTCCCTCTGTTCACGTGATTCCATTCCTTCCCTCCTTTCTCATCAGCGCGATAGCTTGCAACTGGAGAACGGCTTTAAGCACCTATTCTCTTTATTGAGTGCGAATGGTGGCGTTTTGTGTCTTCTCTTCAGCTTACATTAAAACAAAAGGCCAAACTTTCTACATTCCATAGATTTTATTTTCATCAAAAGCTGAATTTTTATGAAAAAAATAACATGTTGAAATTTAACCTTTAAAAACACAAGAGGAAAGCGATATTCACATAGAAGCGGTATTCACACAGAGGTCCTGCAAATGGAGTGATACTGGCAACCACCGAGAGGGGGCGAGATTGCAGAAGAGCAAGATGCGTAAGGATGAAACTACAGGCTTTTTCTTAGCCCACCGTTCTAGAATGTTGACATTTAAGTAAGGTAAGAATAAAAATTGTTTCACCGATAACTTACAACCCAGTGAGGAGAGCCTGGGATCTATTTCTCGCGCCCCTTCAAGGGGGAAAAGCGTCACCCAAACCCCCGGGGCCAGCTCCCCACACCTGCGGCCGGGCCCACCGCATGCGCTCTGTGTTGGGCCCAGCCCAGCCAGCTCTGCTCCTGGGGTCCGAGTGGCCTCACGGGAGTGAGAAAATATTTGTTTGTTTGTTTTTAAGATTTTATTTTATTTATTTTTAGAGAGGGAAAGGAGGGAGAAAGAGAGAAAGAGAGAGACATCAATGTGCGGTTGCTGGGGCCGTGGGCTGCAACCCAGGCATGTGCCCTGGCTGGGAATCGAACTTGTGACACTTTGGTTCGCAGCCCACGCTCAATCCACTGAGCTACGCCAGCCAGGGAGTGAGGAAATGTTTAAAATTGTGTTGTACGGTCCATGCTCCCCTTCACAAGCTAAAGCTCATGCTCACTTCCAAATACGGGTCTGTGATCTCACTGAAGATGAAGGAAAAAGTGAGGCTAATTTTCCAAATCATCCCATCCCAGCCCACACCTGCACCCCAACACCCCAACTCTCTCGACATGTCGAGTGGGAACGTCTCCGTCTGGCAGGCCGCCGCAGTCCCCCGCAGCAGGCGCGCACGTGGCCGGAGAACAACGAGCACCAACACCATGTGGAGCCCGCCCACCCACCTGGCGGCGGACCACCGAGGACGGCCGAAACCTTGGGGAAACGTTTCGGGCTTTCATTCCAACTTGTCACTAGATTCTAAGTTTTTTAGTTAAAATAAATATTGAGCCCTGGCTGGGGTGGCTCAGCGGATTGAGCACCGGCCTGCGAACCAAAGGGTCGCCGGTTCGATTCCCAGGCAGGGCACATGCGCGGGTTGCAGGCCAGGTCACCAGTAGGGGGCGTGTGAGAGGCAACCACACGTTGATGTTTTCCTCCCTCCCTTCCTCTCTCTAAAAATAAATAAAATCTTTTTAAAAATAAGAAATAAAACAAATATTGAATTTCACAAATATTTTCATACCTCCTACAAGTATTAGAGACTCCAAAGTATTACCTGGAAACTTTTTAAATGACTGGAGTAGCTCCTCTACCATTCTAAAGCTGTCTGTTGCATTGCGATCGGGTAACCGAACAGCAACCGCACGTATCCTGGTGCTCACTCGCTGGTTCACAGCAGAAAGCGCGTGCACACACATGTAGCCGCACTCGGGTGCTCGTTGTAAATGCAATGAGGTAGCAGTTGCGTGTTAGCTGGTGTCACTTGCACATTAACCAGCTAACAAGTACACTGCCAGCCCATCGCACACAGTGACCCGTGGGCGTCGCTCACCAGCAGGAGAACGTGTCCAGAAGCAAGTGGCAGGGTGGCTGTGGCTGCCGGCCTGACCCAGCGCAGCCAGCTAACAACGCACTGCCTGCCTGCCTCGGGCCGCCGCCGCTGCTCCTCGCGGCCGTGAGGCCCCTGAGGCCGCCGGGCTCCCGGTGTGAAACACGGCGGCGGAACCACGGCCTCAGAACAGTGGCACCGAAGAGAACTCACACGCCGAGTGCGTCCCTCCAAAACCGCTGTGAGAAATAACACCAACATTTTACTTAATCTCATTAAACTGCTCACACGTGAGGTTTTCCCCACTAAAAGCCTGGGCATGAAGACAGTTCCTGCAGGACAAGCGGGTGCTTGCAGTTGCACTTGACTCTGGCCTTTCCCGTCGCTTCTGTGCGCCGACCCAAGGCCGGCGGCCCGTGCTCCGCAGTGAAACGCTGAGGGGCCAAGGTGCTAATACTACAAACGCTGGGCACAGGACGAATCTTCAGCTGTGTTTGGGGAGAATCGATATTAAAGAATTCAGGGAATTTAAGAACTTACATGTCACGTGTGTGTGTGTGTGTGTGCCCATGACAGGCTATTAGTCACTGCGTTCTGCACGTGCAGGCGTGCGTCCGCGTTACTGTGTCACCGCTCAAACAGAGAAGAGTCTGAAGAGCAGAAAAGTCCGTGCGAATGGTGATGCGCTGGAAACGAGAGGCTGTGCGCAGGCGCGATGCCAGCCTAGGCAGAGGGGGAGTGAGTGGTGGTACCGGGAGGCAAGCGCACGAGGACTGTGTGCGCGGGAGAAATAAGAAAAAAAGCGCTTGGATTTGTTTCATGGTCACTCTGACCACAAGAGGAGCTAAAGGCCTCCGGGTTCCAAGGAGAAGCGCTGCGTGGGATCAACCCCACAACCACTGCCCGTGCTCGCCTGCGCGACGTGGGGATGCCACCGCTGCCCACCAGAGGGCGCCGTCCCGGGTCCTTTGGGGGCGAGCTGCCAAGACGCGGTGGGGGGAGCAGGGGCGCGACCCCCGAGCGGTGCATGCCTACCTGACGCATCCAAGCGGCGCCCTTTGCCGTCGAGGCGGAAGCTAGGCAGTGCCGTTCAGATGCAAGCCCTTACTTACCACTGTGCGCCAGGGGTCCTTGGCTCCTGGCCACGTGCGTTTTAGCACGTGATCGGACTCCGAAGTTAATGATACCATGTTTCCATACTTTCAGATCAGCCCGTGCTTCCCACAGCCGTCTTCCTCGGCAGCATTCGTCTGTCCAAGGTCAAATCTAATACAGAAACCAGCGCAAGCGCCGGACACTCACCTGGGCGGGGGGCGGGGGGGGTGCCTTGACTTCTCTCCTCGCGCCTTCGGCGAGCCCCCGCGTGCATGCCCTTCTCTGAAAAGAGGTAACAGGGGGAGAGAAAAGCCGTTTAGGAAAGTCACTTCAGGTGGGGATGTTTCTAGATCGTCCTCCGCTTTCACTTTTCCAAAGCAACCTCCGGCCGGAGCTCAACTGCGCCAGTTGAAGTCACGGTCGGGGTTCCGAGTCGCGCGCTACCTTTCCGTCCCACACAGGGGTGACGAAGGTGCCCTCCGCACGCGACCCCGTTGGGGGGCCTGGGGCCGGGAATCCAAAGCGCCTCCCCCATCCGCAGCCCCTCTGCTTCCGCAGGGACCCTCCG